TTTCTCTCTTTAACAAAGGTTGATTGACTTTCATCAATTATATCTTTAAGTCCTCTATTCAGCCGATCAGCATAAACATGAGCTAAAATTTTATAATCTGTGCATAGCAGAGTGATGGGTCTCCAGTTATCCAGCATTTGCACATCTTTATTAGGTTTTGGGATTAAGGTGATTATCCCTTGTTTCATAGTATTAGAGAGGTTACCTGATGAGATACAGTCTAAGAAAGCTTTATAAAGCATCTCTCTAATCTCTTTCCAAAAGAATCTATAAAATTCAGTTGTTAGCCCGTCCAAGCCAGGAGACTTCTCAGTGGACATCTTCAAAATAGCCTTATCCAACTCCTCAAGTTCAATTTGTTTTTCCATAAAATCTAGGTCAATTACTTTATTGAATTCTCTTATGGTGTTTATAAACGTTGAACAGTTTGTCTCAGAGTAGTTGGATTTATATAAATTACTGTAAAAATTATGTAATTCTCTATTAATCTGAGTTTCATCTTCAGAAACAGATCCATTTATATTCAATTTAGTGATCTTCTTTTTTAGTTGCCTGTGTTTTTCCAGGTTGAAAAAATAAGATGTATTTTTCTCCCCTTCTTCAATCCAGCGAGCTCGAGAACGTATAAAAGCACCTTTAGCTTTTTCTTCATATAATTTATCTAGTTCACTCTGTAATTTATTTAATTCAACAAGTTCTTCAGGTGACAGATCCGTCTTTTTACTAAGACTATTGATATTTGTAATGATATTAAATTGTTGTTGTTGTTTCAGTTTAGACAGTTTTTTACTTGTGTCAATAGCCAGCTCCCTTATTTTAAATTTGAACCATTCCCATTTACTCACAGCTGACATTTCCAAGGCATTGACCTCCACCACCAGCTGTCTGACATCTTCACCAAAAACAGAATTCTGCAAAAGAGTATTATTGAATTTCCAAACAGGAGTTAGACCAGGATCTGACCTTGAAAACAGAAGAGATAGAGAAATAACACAATGATCAGTTAAAGGTGCAGCAGATATCTCACACTTATTAATATGATTTATCAAAGAATTAGAAATGAGCCAGTAATCGATTCTAGAGCTTAGACCATTCCCAGAGGCATTAAACCAGGAAAACTGACAAGTCCCAGGATGTTTAACTCTCCAACAATCAATCAAATTTGCACTATTCATTAATTGAACAATCAGGTCATCATATTTATGACAGTGGACCCGAGGTGGATTTCTGTCTAGCCATAGATCGGGTACCAAATTAAAATCACCCCCAACTATAACTTTATCTTTTGAGTAAGAATGCATACTATCTGTAATATGTTGACATAAGTCAGAT